ATTTCCAAGATATGCATGTGGCTATTTGTTTATTGTGGGACTATTTATACTAATAATAACAAAACAAACAACCCTCCCTATCAAACAACAACAATAAAAATGCCAAACAACTGCTGTCAAGGTGGGTGGCCCACTGGTTTTGCCCCACACCCCATTACTCACCCATTCAAGTCAAAGGCTCGGATAAGGATGTGTTGTAACACATCGAGCGAAGTGATTTGGGGATCCACAGCAAAAGAGCGAAACTCAAGTGGCAAGAAGCTCTCACATTTCTGTGGAGAGAAGACATGGGGTAGGCTATCAGGGGTCACATCACCACACTGACATGGATGATATGGCAGAAGGTAAGGGTAGAGATGTGGCAGGGGCCAGATCAAGGCAGGGGTTCTGGGCCATGGAGAGAACTGGGACCCATAAAATCTCCAGCCCATAAAATTTCTCTGAGTGAGGGGGGAGGCTTGGGAGGGTTTGAGTAGAGGAGGGATGTGGTCTGATTCAGGATTTAACAGGACCCTTCTGGCTGCCCTATGAACAGTCCGTGGGGGACAAAGGAGAAAGCAGTGGTCCAGTGAGGAGGAGGCTACTGCAATAGTCCAGGTACCCAATCCTTCTTCTACATCCCCTCAAGGATGGTTGCCAAGACCACCATGTTCAATCTTTTGTTGTTCAGTCGCTCAGTTGTGTCCGATTCTTTGTGACCCCATGGACTGCAGCATGCCAGGCTTCCCTGTCCTTCACTATCTCCCGGAGTTTGCTCAAACTTACGTCCATTGAGTTCATGATGCCATCCAACCACCTCATCCTTGGATGCCCCCTTCTTCTCCTGCCCTCAATCTCCCCCAGCATCAGGATCTTTCCCAATGAGCCTTGAGAACCCCATGAACAGTAATGAAAAGGCAAAAAGACATGTCCAGCCTGGCCCTTATTAAACCAGTCTTCCACGCTGCAACCAAATCTAGCATGTCTATCTACAACACTCTCTTGCTTAAATCTCTTCGAAAGGAACCTCAGGATTCCCAAAGGGAGCTTTTTTGAACTTTACACTCTGGTACTACCAAACTCCCAGAAGTTACTCTGAACACATTCTGGCTCCAGGCCTGTGCTTGTGGACATCCCCCAGTCTGGAAGGTCCTTCCCACTCTTTAACTGGCTCACTCACAGCTTAAGTATCTTCTCTTCTTTGAACACCCAAACGTCTACCTTTGAGCTTGCTCTATTACACTGAAGTGATCTGTTTACTTCTCTCTAGAGTCTAACTTCTTCTCATCACCACCAGTGCCACCACCCTAGTCTGAGCCAGTAACCACTTGCTGGAACTACTGCAACAGCTTTCTTATTCAAGAATAGAATACATGTCAAAGGCCCTTCACAATCTGCCCCTCTCTGACCTCTCCCATCCACCCCCTACCACTCTTCTCCTCACTCTCTGGGCTCCAGCAACATGGAAACCTAAGGGAACATGCCAAGTTCATCCCCACCTCCCAGCTTTTGCCCTTGCTGTTCTCTCGGTCTAAAACACTCTTCCCCCCATGATATGCACATTGGTGACTCCTCTTTATTTGGGTCTCTGTTCCTTCAATACCTTTCTGGATATTTCCCTGCACGACCTTGGCTAAAGCAACACCCTACTTCGGAATCTTTTTCGTTATCTCCCCATGACATTCACCAGTGTCTGAAGCATTTCCTTTATTTAGCTGTTTGTCTCCCCGACGAGTGTGTCTGCTCATCCAGTGTGGGGATTTGCACAAAAGTGCACTCTCAACACAATGTTAAACCGATGTCAGCGCCTCCTTTTCAGACAGCAACATCCTCCCTCATTTCTCAGGGCTCCACTCCATTAAGTCCCCTCCTCCAACCCTATAGCCCCTCCTCTCTACCCACAATCTCCTCCTATCCATTCCAGAGGGCCCTACCCTTCAATTTGTAATCCCCACGCCCCACCCTCTGCCCCCGCATTCCCAGGTCCAGCCTTCCCCCAGCCCCCACCCAAACCACCAATATTCTGCCCTCAAGCCTCTCCCCTCACGTAACACCCCAATTCTCAAGTCCCGCCCTCCATCCTAGGACAGCCACCACCTTCCCCTCTCCCGGGAGCTCTGGGCGGGCTGAATGACGGGCCACCAGCCTCACCTTGACTCGGACCCGCACCACCTCTCGCTCCTCCTCCTCAGCTGCCGCCGCCTGTGCTCCCCCACCAGGCGGGGGCGCTCCGGAGCCAGCCAAGTCCGAGGACCCAGAGGCCGTCGCCATCCTGCCGCCACCCACCTCGGGGTGACAGTTGACCGTTGCCCCCCTACCCTCGTGCACACGCCAGAATGCAGGCACCCGCGGCCCCACCTTGTGCCCTGGCGCAGGCGCAGAGGGCGCCACGCGACCCTACCCACCCCCCGCTTGGCACAGGGAGGAGGTCACCTCTGCGCTTGCGCAGTGTGCTGTTGCCAAGAGCCCCGCCCCCCAAAGCCGGGCATTGTGCGTCACTTGAGCCAGCGTGCAGGCGCTTACTGAGGCCCCGCCTCCCTCGTCCTTGATTTGGTCACTTTGCTTCCGGATTCACCTAGGTGTGTGTTAACGCGGCGACCTATTGGGGCGAGAAAAGTGGGCGGGGAAAGGAAGCTAATGCGCGATAACGTCAACGCCCCACGTCTGCCCCAAGTCGCCTATGTCTCTGCTTAGAGATGACGTCATCTATTTAAATCATTTCAAACGAATCTGCTGAATGGAAGAATAATCCTTTTCCCACAATCTTTTAAAAAATAGCTTACACGTTATGAAAATTCACGGACCTGTACATTTAGACTTTTGCTGTTTCTGCCTGCATGTTATACTTTAATAAATAATTTACCCATAAAAGCTATTTGTATGCTCTGTGGACAAGTTTGCCTCTGTTTTTATTGAATCTTTACAACACGTTGAAGTCAGTCCTGTTATTAAACAGTGTGTGCCCACCAAATATCAGCTGAATACTGGACATATTTTAGACTCCTTTGAGAAAGTTTATGTACCACAAAATGCAAAAAGCCATTCTCATTTTACTGTATAACGTCTCTATGGTTTGGACAAAATACATGCTGCTCTTAAAAATGTAATTTGTAACCAAGGAGTCCTGTAAGGTACCTGGACTTCAGCTATTGCTGCAGTATTGTATGATGTTACCTTTAATGTTACCTTTTAAGAGAAGTCTCCTTTTCTAAAACACTTCTTGTGGCACTGCCAGGTTTTCTGATGGAAACAAGGAGTTTGAAAGTTGCTTTTCATTAAAATTATCAGAGTGGAATGAGCAAAACATTAGCCTAGAACTTGGAATTTATCCTGAGGGCCCTGGAGCACAGGCTTATGATGTGTTCAGATGCCCCTGTCTTGGTTGTGGAGAAACCTCTGGAAAGAAATATACTGGAAGCAAGAAGAGCAAAAAGGAGGTCCTTGCCATAGTGCAGGGGAGAATTTTCTCTTTCATTTGTTCATTCTTCCATTTAACAAAGTGTATACCAGATAGTGTAAATATATTCATCTAATCTGCATAAAAATCCTGAGGTAGGTACTATCATTATCAGCATTTTACATATGAAAGCACTGAATGAAGGTCATGGGAAAACATGCTCAAGATCAAAGGGATAGTAAATAGGACAGAGAGAAGAGAGTGCAATGGACAGAAGGTGGGGCGGTGCCTGCTGTGCTTGAGGGAGAGCAAGGGCACCATCATGCCTTAAGTAAACAATGAGGTTAAGTGATGGATCTGAGGTGAGAAATTAATGCAGGGCTTTGGGTTAACAGTGAGGCACTTCTCAAAAAGTGACACTGTAGGCTCAAGCAGAACCAAGATTTAAACTGAAGTCCTGCTCTGCACAGGTCACCTGGAGCCCATCTACAGGTATCTGCAGGTTAATATGGCCATCTCCACAAAATTCCTCTAGTACCGATTTGTTTTATGACTGAAGGTCTTTGAGGTTAAAGACAGAGACTGCTGGATGAGCAATAGGAGTCTGTAGGGTGAGGGGTATCTGTGGGTACAGGATAAGTGGTCTGTGTGGTGAGTAAAGGGATGTCTGTGGGATGGGTGATAAGATATGGTGTAAGTGATGGAAGATCTCTGGGGTAATCGGGGATCTATAGGGTGAGTGATGGGGAATGTAAGGTAAATAGATTCTTCAAAGTCATTATGGGGAGTTTACAGAGTGAGTGATTGAGAGATCTATGGTGAGTGATAAGAGACCTATGGGGTAAATGATAGGGCATTTTGTAGAAGAGTGATAAGGTTTGTGCAATACATGATGGGGGATCTATGAATGAGTCATAGTTGTACGTAATGGAAGGTCTCTTGGGGCAAGTGATGGGGTCTGTGGTGTGAGTGATGGAGGTCTGTGAGGTGAATGATTCTCTCCGTCAATGGAGCAAATGAAAGGCTGTTTGTGGGGAGAGTGATGGGTATCTTAGGAGTTAATGATGGAGTATATGGGGTAGTAGAGTGACTTTTGTGGGGGTCTCTGGTGTGAGCGATGGCAATCTTTAAGGTAGTGATAGGGTTCTTTGGATGAGTAATAAGGGGATATATGGAGTTAGTAATGGGGTATTTGTGGGATACCTGATCAGGAGATAAGAGGCTGAGTAAACTGAAGAACTTGGATTTGGAAAATTCTCAGCCTGACCATATTTCAAAACAAGAAAGGTTATATTTTGGAGAGAATGCCAAGGGTGTGGATGGACGATCATGCCTTAAAAGACTTTACAGATGTGATTCATGGATCTAATTAACCATCAGGGGAACCTGTGGGGTCAGTGATTGAAAGTTGTGAGGTCATAGGTTCGAGGTCTATGGGATGATGATGCTGGTCTATGGCTGAAAGGATAGTGGTCTGTGAAATGAGTGCTGGAAGGATCTATAGTGTCAGTCATGGGGCATCTTTGGGGTTAATAATTAAAGATCTCTCAGTATAGGGTCAAGATCTTTATTTCCTGATTAAGAGTTCCTCAATAGCCAGTGTTTAAGCCTAGTTCATCACTCTTTAGTTCTGCTTGCTCTTGACTTTTGGGGCTTTGGCATCCAGTATGCTCTGGGCATGAGCAAGTTGCTTTATAGAATCCAGTATGAGGAGTCCGGGCAGCACCAGCCACAGGGCGTTCAAGAAGACAAAGTAAAACCAGAAGTAGAGTGGGTGGCCCAGCTCTCCGTGCTGGAATCCATCACGGTACTCTGTCAGGAAATAGAGCACATCTCCATATACCTGACCTGTGGGAGGTAGAAGGAGAAGGAAACTCTGTAAGGAGGAGGAACAATTCCAAGCCATTTTCCAAGTTATTAGAGCTCAGGATTCCCAAATTCAGAGACATAAAAGTTCTGAAATCACATGACTGAAGATTTGAGAAATCAGAAATGTGAGAATTCCAGAAATCAGAAGCTGAGACTTTCTGAACACAAGAGAGTTCATGTCTCCAGAATTTAAGCTCAAAATCCTTTCATTCAAGACAGCTCGGGATTCTAGGACTAAAGAGAACTCACATTTCCAGAAAGCTAACAACATAAGAACATAAGAGGACTGAATCTCAGATGAAGGAAGCTCAGAATCTTGATTCAGAAGAATGCAGGGGTTTCCCACCATCATGGGCCACCTCATGTAACTGTAACCCTCATGAGAGACTTTGTGATGGAGTGGGAGGAGAAATGAACTCTCCTGGATTGAGAACACAGGCCTGGAGGGGCATGGCTGTTCCAAAACCTCAGGGAGTTTGTCATTCAGTCTGACTCAGCCCTGGATGGGCACAATTGAGAAGTCCCACCCACAGGAATGCCCCCATGTCTGCAGATCCCCCATCAAGCCCTCAAGCACCCATTGTGGGCCTTCTCCTCACCCCCAGAGACCACAAGCTGTAGGACAAAGCGGAGGGGTTGCTGGCGGAGAAAAGCGATCACCACCCACAGGCTGAGTGGTCCCCACAGGTAAGCCGTGATGGTCTCCATGCATATTATGAAGTTATCATCCCTGCAAGAGAAAGGATGGAGGGGGCACTGGCATTACTGTGCTCTACCTACAAGGCACCCCTTAATGCTCCCTGACTTACCTCCCCCCAAAACAATGCAGGTCTCCCTTGACAAACACTTACAGGATGTATCGGCTGTCTCCCTTGGCGTACTCTTTCCCTGAAGAAGACAAGAAACTTACATGAAGAACATCAGCAGGAAAAGGAAGTCAGACTTGTGAGAGCCGAGGGCTCATGTAAGAAGGCAGGCTTTATAACCTCCCCATGCCTCAGTCTCCTCATCTGTGAAATGGGGCAGCTGTTTTTATATGTATATAAGATAATGTGTGCAAATCTGACACAGAACATTAAGTGTTGCTGTGATTGTCTTGTATTCAATAAATGTTTGTGGAATAAAACCAGGCAGGTGTAAATGATGGAGTGAGGAAAGTAGCCAATGAGAGAAAGAGAGAGAGCTGGAAGGTGAACAGATAAGTAAATGAAAGAGTAAGCAGAGATCACTAAGGAAAAGATAGATTACCCAATATAAAAATAGACAGGAGACTGAAATAGGTTTTTCACAAAACCGGATTCTAAAAGGTCAATAAACACATGAAAGGTACTTATTAATCACTAAGGGAAAGCAAATTAAAACCATAATGAGATATCACTCACATCCACTCGAAGGACTAAAATTTAATAAACACCTGGTCATATCAAGTGTTGATGAGGATGTGGAAAAACTAACTCTAATATACCGCTGGTGGGAATATAAAATGGTGCAGCCATTCTTGAAAAGTTTGGCAGTTTTTCATAACATTAAACACACATCTACCACAGGACCCAGATATTCTACTCCTCCACATCTACCCAGGAGAAACGAAAGCAGATCTTCACATAGAGACTTGCAGAAGAATGTTCTAGCAGATTTATTCATGAAGCCAAAAAGGAATACTGTTCATAACAGCAAAAGATTAGGGGAAATACCTATTAATACTGGAAAAGTCAAATAATTCTGTAACATTTATGCTTTCAAACTCTTCATAAACTTTTTTTTTTGACATATTTCAGTTTTATTTTCAAGAAAAAATAATTTTTAAATACTGTGTTTTAAAACATGTCCATTTCCTCTATTTAAGTAAATAATATATATGGCAAACTTTTAATTTGCTATTTTTTAGTTTATATAATCAGTGAATTACTTGCCAATAAAAAGGATTTTTTACTGATACAATCCTCATTTGTCCTTTCAATATTAAGTCATTCCTCTAATTTTTAGTAAGATTTAAATAAAAATTATATAAACATCAATTTCTTATTTCATCTATTTTACACTATGCTTCACAGACTTTTACTTTGAAGAATAAATGTATCAACCACACATCCCCATCACCATCTTTTTTTCCTTCTTTATTGTCTCTCTTTAATAAAGTCAAATTTAGCTATAATTTTTTTTATTTTAATTAATTAATTTATTTTTTTATCACAACCATAGTGTATCTTTTTTTTTTTTTTTTATACATGTATTCCCCATCCTGGTCCCCCCTCCCACCTCCCTCTCCACCCAATCCCTCTGGGTCTTCCCAGTGCTATAAACTTATGATGAGTGTCCTCATCAAAAAAAAAAGCAAAGTTCAGAAGCAAAGTTCATTTAAAAAAAAAAGCATGCTACCATTTATACAAAAGGAAAATTAAAATGATGATGATGATGATGATAAAGTTATATGGCATGTATTATCTGCCAAACATTGTTCTAAGTGTCTTACATGTACTTGGGTATGACTATTATCCCTCTTCTACAGTTGAGCAAACTGAGGCTTATGTGTGTAATTTATGTGTAAAACCCTGAAAAGAAACATAAGCAATTATTTGGGGAAACTTGGTGCATAGAAGGTAGATTTTTACTGCATACCTCTAAAAGGCTTCATTTTGGATCCATGTGAATATACATGCAACAAAAGTTAAATAAATTTTAAAAATTTATTTTAAACAAATGGAATAAGAGTTGGTGGGTAGGTAAACATCTAAGCCAATCCCTGTCCAGGAAATTCCCTTCCACAGCATACTCAAGAACCCAGGACTCACAGAGTTGAGATAAGATGGCTTGGTCTCCAAGAAGGTCCGCGTGGTAGAGGCTGAACCAGCCCTCAATCACCAAGTGAATGAACCCACATACTGCAAACCAGCACAGGGACAGTCTCCGCCAAGTCCCAAGTGGGACGACCGAAGCACGCCCTGACAATAGCCATGTGGTCACCACTAAGACTCCAGAGACGGAGAAGAGGCCAGCCAGGATATGCCAGGTGGGGCAGTCATTAGGCACAAAGTTGTCTAGTCTCAGGTGCTGAGGCCAGTAGGGGTGCGTGGGGCTGGCGTTGGTGGTCATGTCTTTGTAGGCTGATGGTGGTGTGTGGATATGTAGAAAAGAGAATTTTAAAAAAAACCTGAACAAATACAAAGGCATAGAATGAGATCATAAAATCATATCCAAATAGTTTATTATGACAAGAAATGTAAGTGGACTCAATTAACTGATTAAGACTGACTCAATTAAAAAAATCTAATTATATACTATTTTAAAAACATGAACATAAAGGCCACAGAAAAACTGAAAGCTTGTTCCTGCCCTCTGGGAGCCATATGATATGGTAGACACAGGAACCAGAACAGGTCCCAGCTCTCATTGATCTCATTGGGTAAGATAGGAACCAGGCCTAGTCTCTGCTCTCATTGGTCACAGTCTGGTGGTCAGACACAAGAATCAGACTAGGTCCCAGCCCTCATTGGTCATGCTCTGGCGAAGGAGACACAGTAACCAGGCCTGATCCCTGCCCTCAGGAGTTACAGCCCGCTGGGGGAGACACAGGAGCCAGGCCCGGTGCCATGCCTCCCAGGTCTGCTAGGGGAGATTTGCAAGAGTCACTGTCTTGCATCCTGCAACGTAAAGCTATTACCCTCCCCATAGTAAAAGATGACTAATCAGAACTACACCTTCAGGTTCAGTGTATGGGATTATCCGACCCATCCCGAAATTGCTCACCCTGCAGCCAACTCGCAAAAAAGAGGAAAGTGGAGAGCAGGGGCCTTGCGCCGGGAGCTAAAGAGGAGCTAAAGAGCTAAAGGGAGCTAAAGAGGAAGGACAAATACAGAGACCACCAATCCGAACTAGAACCCTCTGGTTCAGCTGCCCGATGAGAAGGCAGATCTTTTGCAGTCCCGACAACCGCGCAGTAGCCGACCGCCCTGCGCAGGCGCGTGGGGGTGGTGAGGGTGGCAAAGCGGCGAGGAAGTGGGGATGGGGGAAGGGTCTCGCGCAGGCGCGCCGAGGGCTGGCCATTTAGCAATTCCGAGCTAAGGGATGGAAAGGCAGTTCAGGCGGAGGGCACTCACTCAACAGCGCGTTTGCAGCGGCCTCTCCCACAGGTTCCCGGGTCTTACTAAGATCGGTCGCTGGCTCCGAAATATCAATACTTCAAATCCAACCCCTCACAGGTTCCGCCTTATGGAACTGGCCAATGGAGGAGCTGGAAAGGAGGCCAGTGCTGCTCTCAGCCAATAGTTATTGTCTATGTGCCGCCGACCCCGCCCTCACGCGTGGTACCATTTTTGCTGCGGAGAAGCCACGGTTGGTGGGCGTTTTCAGCCAGAAGCCAATCTGTGGCAAGTCTTGGCTTCAGCTTCCCTAACCCCTTATCCATCCCATCAGAAATCGGGTGTTTACCTGCTGTTGAATCAGCATTGCGTTGCCCTCATTTGTAAAAGCAGAGCAACCAAAACTTTCCCCAGATCAACCTTTAATCCTCATCCCCCAAATGGGCAAGGAAACAATACAAATAAGTCCTGGTGACTCAGCAGTAAAGCATCCACCTGCAATGCAGGAGACGAGGGTTTGATCCCTGGGTCGGGAAGATCCCCTGGAGAAGGGAATGACAATCCACTCCAGTATTCTTGCCTGGGAAATCCCATGGACAGAGGAACCCGCGGACTACAGTCCGTGGTGTCACAGAGTTAGACACGACTGACAGACACATCAGATCTTACTGCTACCTCCGCCTCTCCCTCAGGCCATCGCCATCCTGACTTCAAGTTAGAAGAACCAATCAAAACCCAAGCCCCTCAGCCTTGCTGACCAATTGACACGGAGGCCCTCAAACCCCCTGTGCCAACTCTTAAGAGTGAATTGAAACTCTATAACTCTAACCCAGTGGGCACCCAGACTATTCAGTCAGTCTCCAGACCCAACCCAGGCCTTCTATCCAATTAGAATCCACACCCCTCAGTCCTAAGGACCAATAGGCATCAACTCTTCATCAGTCTTGCTTTTCCTCCACTGTCCCTGTCAGGGCAACCAGTTAGAATGGGAATTCCTGTTTTTCAGCCAATTAGAACAATTAGAATCAGATCTCCCCCACATCCAGGTATCCAATCTGTCCTGGTCCCACTCAGACCTAGCAGTGCTATCCTCAGGCTCATCATTCAATCATGAATGATAATAAATGAACTACAAACCAATCACAACCTCCCTCTTCATGGTTTCCAGCTTCCAACCCTTTATCCATGCTGTGTCCCCTTCCTAATTCATTTCTATTCCCCACTGAGCAGTGAAGAAAGAGGCTTTTGTATATTTCCTACTTTTATTTGATAATAACAAACTGTATAAAAAGGGACAAGGAAGGCGGGGAGGCCCTGGATCTCCCCCTCTCTGCTTCCCCAAGCATCCCCCACCCCTAGGCCCCAGGAGGGACCACTCCCTTCCCGCCTTGTGGTGGGGTGGGGATTGACAGGCATGGAAATGGTGTGTGTGTGTTTGTGTATGGGTGTTGAGGGGGGTCAAGGATGGAGAGAGGGTCAAGAATTAGAGGGCCTTCCCTCATCACCCATCAGAGCTGGCACCCTGAGGAGGGGTCTTGAGGGAGCTTGTGATGGTCCACAGATGTGTCTCAGCCTATGAGACGGTAGAAGATCCAGCATCCAAAAGTGACCCAGTGACTGGCCCAGCTGAGCTCTGACCATTTGTGGACAGTGTATGCCATGCCGTAGCCCTGTGGGAAAGAGGTGATGGTTGGTCCCACTCAGCAAGAATAAAGATCTCAGGAAAACCCATCCTTTGCTCAAGGATGTTTCTGTGACTCCACTGCAACCCTGAGTGAGGCCCCAGAGAAGAGATTGAGTGCATATGAAAGGTAAGCAGACTTAGTCTTTTTTCTTTTGTGTTTTCTCCTCTTTAAAAAAAAAAATTTAAATACGAGACAAGGCAATCCCACTTTCTGACCTGTACTCTCCCTTATATATAAAGATTGAGTTTTTAGAAAGACAGACAATAGCAAAGGAGGTGAGTAGGCCATTTTCAGAAAAGGAAAAAAAATGAAATCACTCTTAAACATATCAAAAGATACTCAGCCTCATGCATCACCTCCCTCCACTCAAACTGACAAATGTATCTGTGAAGTCTGAGAGGCACTCTGTTATTGTTGCGACAAACAGGATCACACACTGCTGGTGGGAGGGTGAAAAGGTAACTTCTCCATTGCTATCAAGACTAGATCCTATAGTTCTCTCTGCTCCTCTGTGAATCCACATAGATGTGATGTTATTACTTGCTATAGCATTACTTACAATAGAAAAGGAGTGGAAAATCACCTGGGTGTTCACTGATAAGGGACAAACTATATTATGTCACAATGGAAAAAATGAATGAGGATACTCTGTGTCTTTTTTAAAAAAATTATTTGGCTGTGCCAAGTGTTAGTAGGAGTATGCATTATCTAGTTCCCTGACGGGATCAAACCGAGGCCCCCTGCATTGGAAGCACAGGGTCTTAGCCACTGGACCACCAAGGAAGTCCCTACTCTATGTCTTAATGTGGGAAGTTTTCAGGAATTATGTGAAAAAAAGCAACATGCAGCACAGTGTCATTCATGTGTTACCTTTAGGGTAAAAACCAGGGGGAGGGAATTAAAAATATTTTTATATCTGCTTATTATGCTTATATTTTAGAATAATAGTTCAATAAAATGAACAAAAGTGGGTACCCATAAGAGGATGGGAGTAAGACGGTAGGAATAAGACTTTCCCCTGAATATTTTGTACACTGTTTTTTGTTTGAACCATGTGATATGCATTAACTATTTTTTTTTTAGCTCTGCCTCGAGGATTGCAGGCCTTAGTACCCTGACCAGGGATTGAACCTGGGCCCCAACAGTGAAAGTGCATGTGCTAACCACTGGACTGCCAGGGAATTTCCTGCATTAACTGTTTAATAAAAAACCAAAAATTTTATTTAAAAAGAAGCAAAACCCAGATTTTATACATTCAACCTGAATGAAAAATCAAAAATTGTTTTTAATGACAAAATATCAAGTTTTATTTTCAATTAAAAATTGAACGAAGGAAATTCCTGGTGGTCCAGTAGTTAGGACTAGGTGCTTTCACTGTGGTGGCCCAGGGTTCAATTCCTGGTCAGGGAACTAAGATCCCACAAGATGCCTGGCATGGCCAAAAAAAAAAAGAGAGAAGCAAAAGCTGGATCCTGTTAGTGCCATATGAATAAACATTACTTTCAAATTGTTTTTCATTTAAAGAGGAGTAAAACCTGGAATGTGCATACTCTACCTGAATAAAAATAATACATACATTTTAACATACACTTTTAAAGTAGAATCCAGGATTTGCACAATCAATATAAGTAAAACTATTTTTAACAAATTAAATAAAGAAAACTTGCGAGTTCTACCTAAGTAACAATATGATGAAATAATTAACTTTAAAAAAGGAAAACTCAGATTTTGTATTCTATCTAGAGAAAATAAATTTTATAAATAAAATAAACATATTTTGCACACTTCATCCAAGTAAAAGACCCAACAGTATCAATCAACCAGAGGGACAATGGGAGAGAAGGACAAAGGACAAGCTGGAGACACTAGATACAAGGTCCCCATGTCTTGTCCTCCACACCTTTGTTCTTATGGTTCCGATGAGCAGGTAGCACATCCCTGGGTGACCCCCAGCCCAGGGCCCCCCCCCCTCCACCTTACCTGTTCCTCTGTGGTGTCATCCACATCGACATCAAACAGGGAGCCCAGGTAGGCTAGGTGAAAGATGGCCAGGGCCCCAAAGAACAGGTTTAAGGCTCGTACCCCCAGGCCCTGTGGAAGACAGATGGATAAGCCTGGCAGCTGGACCTAATCACTGTCCTCTAATCCCATCTGGGCAGGTGCTCCCAGGGTAACATTCTAGGCACAGGAATAAGGATGTCCAGGGCAGTCTCCACCAGAGTATGAAAGAGATGGTTCTGATCCTCGTGTGGGAGCTCAAGGGGTATCCAAGGATGAGGATACTGTTAGCTTGAGAACATCCAAATTGGGGGAGATTCAAGCATTCAGGCAGAGGAAGAAGAATGGGGGGTGGGGCTTTGAGTTGGGGGTTTATGGTGATAAACATTGGCTGTCTGGTTAGAGGCAAATCTGAAATTCTCCATACTTCTTGTTGCCAAAAGAATGAGAAAAAAAGACACAAATCAAAGCAAATCGCTACTATGACCTACATGGCCCACCTCTCCCCCTCTGACTCACTCTGCTCAAGCCATCCTGGCCTCCTCACTATTCCTCAAATATTTCAGGCACTCTCCCATCTCAGGGCCTTTACTCTGGTTGTTCCCTTTGCCTGAAATGCTCCCCTTCCTTACCTCCTTCAGTTAAAGAACTCAAAAGTCACTTCCTCACTTAAACTTGAAACGACTCACCCCTGATACTTCCCTCTCCCCTTCTCTTATGTATTTTCTCCTTGGCACTAATCACAACCTAACAAGCTACTACACTTTACTGACTTATTTTTTATTTACTGTCTTCCCTGCTAAAATGTTTGTCCCAGAGGGCTGAGATTTTGGTTTATTTTGTTGATCACTGTGTCTCCAGCACCTAGAACAGTGCCTGATGCCAGGAGGTGCTCAACCCATGTTCACTGGGAAAATAAACGCTAGGTGGGTATACAGCAGTTGCTTGATACATTCTTATTAGAGAGATGGATGCCAGTGAATAGAGGTGAGGTTATGAACATGGTTCAGGACTGGAAGAGAAAGCTGGGCACCCTGAGACAGATATAAGGTGGAAAGAGAAGTAATTTTTTTGGGGGGGGGGGAGTTGACCACACGGCTACCTAGGCTGAATCCTCACCAAGCGATGCTGGTGTGAACAGTCTGGTGGGCACCGTTTAGATAAGACACAGGCACTGAGAATCCGAGCCAGGCGCTTTCGCAGAACTAGGGCAGATGAGGGGGAGGGGAAGGTAAGACTGTCAGGTTAGCCTCAGGTAACAGTGGTTCCAGCCCACCACCAGCCAACACCAGCCACCCGTCCCATCTGCTGGGTTGGGTTCTGCACTCACCATGCTCCACGTAAGTGATAAATGCCAGGGACAGCAGTACTGCAGCCAGGTGGAAGCTGAAGCCCTGGGGTGGGGTTGGGGGCAGTGAGGTGAGTGAGCAGGAGGCCCCACCACCCCCACCCAGCTACCACCCTGATCCCACTCTGCTCTGCTCACGTGCAGGAGGGCGCTGGCTGCATAGGTGACTAGCACGGCTGAGAAGGTCCCCAGGTGGAGAGCATTCTTGAAAACATCTACGGGGATGGGGGGAGAGGTGGGGCAACAGTCTCCTGAGCTTTTCCCCGGGCCTTCCTGGGGGGCCATTAGGGTAGGGTGAGGATACCCACAACCTCTCAGGGCCCCCAGGATGAAGTCTCTCTATAATGGCCTCCAATTTCACATTATCTAAACTTAGCTCCTGATTGTCCCTCCCAACCTGTTCCTCCTATAGTCTTTCCAAGTGTAACCAATGTCAACTAAACCCTTCCAATTCATCAGGACCAAAAGCCTCATTATCACCTTTGATCTGCTCCTCCCCTGACTCCTATAACCAAACTCTTAGCATATCCTGTCAGTTCCAGCTTTGGAGTTTATCACTGCTGCCCTCCCCAAGACCCTGTCTTTCCTCACAATAGCCAGAGGATCCTGTTACAACCCAAGGCAGCCCGTGGCTCTCCTCTACTCATACCCCTGCTCTGTCTCTCTCAGAGAAAAAGCCAAAGTCCTCCCCATGGCCAGAGAGACCCTATAGGACCAGGCTCTGTCACCTCTTGGACCTCACCTCCTACCACTCATCCCCTTGCGCACTCTGCTTCGGCTCTACTGGTCTCCTCACTGTACCTCAAATGTGCCAGGTATACACCTGCCTCAGGGCCTGTGCATTGCTGTTCCTGCCATCTGTTACATTTCTCCCACATTTATTTGCATTGATTGCTTTCTCACCTCTAAGTCTTTGCTCAGACTAGCTCCTCAATGAGACCTTCTCTGGGTGATTTATTTAAAATTGCATCCACTCCCACCCACACATTCCTAACACTCCCAGATCGTCTTCACCTTCTCTCTTTATTTTTCTTACCACAGCGCATATCACCACCTGAACTACTGTGTATTTTTTAAAATTATACTGCTCCCCCAACAAAAATGTCAACTCCACAAGGACAGGAGTTGTTTGGGAGGTTTTTTGGTCCATACTATCTTCAACTTGTATGAATGTGAAAAGGGGTGTGGGTTGATGACTGCCAGCCCTCTTGGAGTGATGACTTTGTGACTCACAGTTATTTAGCCAATAAGACATGGGCAGGTTCCAGCTTGTGACAACTTCCACCATGGACCGGGGCAGCTCCACATTCAGTGGCTTAGAGACTGTCAGGTCCCTGTGAGAAAAAGAGACACGCAAACTCATTTGGGATTTAACCCACCTGAGAGTCACACTTTTGTTCTTAGCTGTTCCCTCCCCTGGGAGCATCCCCCCCTCCTCCCTGACGCTCCTCTAGGCAGCACCCTGTGGGAGATGGAGCCCCCCCCAGCCCTCCCCACCATTCCAGGTGATCCTTCTCCTCGGTGAAGCCAGCCCCTGCCAACGTGGCCGTGGCTTCGGACAGAAAGCCCACAAAGTAGTTGCTGAAGTGGAAGGAGACAGCACTCTCGTAGGCTCGCAGCCACCTGGGGGAAAAGGAGCCAGAGAGAGAGGCATCATGCTCAGGTCCAGGTGTGACACACCCCAGTTGCCAGCATCCCTGGCCCCACTCCGTAGACTCACCTTACCATGGTGCCCCTAGGGGTCAGGAAGGAAGCAGAGAAGAAAGGAAAGAGAGTCAGAGAGGCCCTGGAAGCTGGTCTAAGTTGTTCATCAACAATACAAACAGAAACGTGGCAGCAAAAGAGGTGAGAGTCATGCTACGATAGTCACACACATCCATCCTTCCATGCCCTGTTGGTCAGTTTCAGGTGGCTCAAATTGATGTGTGAGCTGCTCTATGACATGACATGGTCCCACGGCCTCACCTGGCCAGACATCCAGACCCAGCCACTGTTAGAGGCTGACCTCACAGCTACATGGGCAGACACACATACTATCAGACTCCCAGCTCTCTGACCAGATTCAGTGACCATAAGACACATGGAAGTCCTTTAGTTAGGCTCAGAGATCATCAAGCACCCAGTTATGTACACATACACAATTCTACACTTAAGACAGTCATCCTGTCAGTTGTATAATCAGACATGGTCAAAGACAGGCAACATCTTCCACTGGAAAAAGTGTAGGTTCTGGATTCAGGCCTGGGATTAATGTCTGGCTGTAGTTGGGTGACAGTGGGCAAGTCATTCCACCTTTCAGAGCCTCATTCAGCATCAGACACAATCAGCGGCCAGTGAGGAGGGGAGAAGTTCATGTAATCAAAGAGCTGCGTGAAATCCTAGTCACACCAGGGGTGGATGGTCAGTCCTGCCCCTCCGTTGGACAATACTGAGGAGCCAGAGAAGGCAGATCCGTTGGCAGAATCATCACAGACACACACACAACACGCTACAGATCCATTCCCAGCCACAGTTAGAGACAAGCCAGGTTTATCCTATCTATTGATAGCCACATGCTCCCATCACAGACAACCGCACAGCCAGCCAGCCAGTCAGAACTCCAGTCGCACACAAGGAGTCCCTGGCTGATAGGCAAAAACCCACACACACTTCTAGCCAGTGTCACAGACAGGTCAGCATCCTGTCTGTGGATATGTTGGTCAGCTAACCAACACATATCTGTTGCTGTCTATTGCACTCATATAACTTGCTTCTAATGGTGGAATAGCAGAACAGATGGACAGACAGACACAGTATGTAATGGAGGATCTACTGTACATGGAGTTATAGGGCCAATCATGGTCTAACCAGAGCCTCAGACAAGCACTCACTCACTGGGTAGATGGTCGGACAGCATCAGACTCACAGAACCAGTCAGTTACAGACTATGCCCCCACACCCCAGTCAGCCCCACTCGCCCTCAGCACCTGCCCTCATTTACCTGACTTTGCGTTTCTTGCTGTAGTAACAGAAGACAGACAGAAGCATTAAGAGACAAGCTCAGAGCTGGGGAGACCCCAGGTCCCTCCCCAACCCCCTCAACTGCTGGGCAGAGGCCTCGAAGGTTGTGCTCACTTGCGAAGGAGGCGGTCACCATCGAGGGGAATGAAGTACGGGAAGAGGTAGGGCCCCACACAGGTGGACAGCACAAGGCACAGCAGGGCCAGCGCCAGGCTCCGCGCTGCCTTCTGCAGCCATCGGCGGCTCTGTGGGGATCAAGGCGCCATGAATACTGCCTCAGGGTGGCTCCCATGGCCCCTGCCCACCTGTCCACCCAGGGCCTCACCAGCGGGCGACCTTGGACGGCCTGTAGGTAGCTGTGGAAGGATATCCAGGGCCCGAACACGATGGTGCCCACGAAGTAGAGGTAGCCCATGAACTCCACAGGCGAGGGCACTGCGCCCACCTCGCCCCTGTCCAGGTCGAAGCCCAGAGACACCGCCTTCATGGCCACGATCATCTGGGCCCCTACATGTGGTGCCCATGGTCAAGTGGATGAGAAGAGAGCAGGTAGCCATGGGGGGGATGGGGGGATCACCAGGTGAAAGGCGGTAGGAAAGAAGAGTGCAGGGGTGGAGAGGTGGGCACAGGGTCAGACAGGCAGTGGAGCAGGTGGGCCCAGGACCGGCAGACGTTCTGACTCTATAGAGAGTCAGGCACGGACATGAGATGGGACAGACAGATGGGGTGGGGGAAGAGGCATGGTAGAGAGAAACACAGACGTGAGGGGAGTCTGAGGGCTGCGTGTCCAGTGAGCTAGGCAGATGAGGGAGAAGCATGGGGAAGGAAAGAGACAGGGTGGGGGATTTAGGAGAGGTGGAGCGGGGCTGGAGGGCTGGGGCAGGGGACAGAGCCAGGGCTGCCTACCTCGCATCTTGTGCCATGTCACGGTATCCACCATGTGCATCTCACTGAGGAAAAAGGTGGTGATCTTGGCCCTATGACTCCCCTGGCCTCAGACACGGCAAAGGGGGGAAACCGAGGTGCAGAGAGGGCATATTTTCCCTGCCCTGCACAACCTCATGGAGGAAGAGTTCTCCAGGGCTCCCTCCTCCAGGGGGAGCTCAAGTCCCACCTGTCCAGTGTAGCCCTTTGGAAAGAACAAGTCTCCCAGATTTCCACCGCCTCCAGAAACATCCTCTGCCCTCCCTGTCCTGGACAGTCTCATGAGGACTGTGAGACTGGGGACCCACCCACGCCCACCCACTCTTCTGCTGATGGTACAGGGATGAGGACTCATGCCCATACCCCATAAGCAGGTAGATGAGGATGGTGACGGAGAGGAAGACGCCCCGATGGGAAGAATGTCGGCAGAGGAACAGCACGAGGTAGCATAGGAGGCTGAGCAGCACGACCCAAACCATGTGCAGCTGGAAGAAGTGGTAGAGGCTGAAGAAGCCGCCTGCCACGGTGCTTGCATGCTTCAGGTAGGATGGCAACCCTTTGGGTGAAAGAAAGAGAGAACATGACAGGGAATTAGAGGAGGGTTGGTAGAAGGGCAACCTGGGCAGAGTTCACAGCTCAGGCAAAGGCTTAGAGGTTGGAATGTGGTGGGATTGCAGGTAACACAAAGCAGGTTTGGGGGAGCTGGGGAGGTGACTTGGGTTTAAAGAAAAGAGACATCTATAAAGGTTATTTTGGGAACCCTGGAGGAAATCTGAATAACTTATATTGGATAACACTATAGCATTGAGATTAAATTTCCTGAGGGGTGATGGTTGAGGCTATGGTTGTGGGGGGAAGATGTCCTTATTCTTGGGGGACACGTGCAAGAGGATTTGGGGTGAAGTGCAGCAGGTTATTCAAGTGATTCAGGAAGATGATCGAGCAATCGACAGAGCGAGCTAATGTGGCAGGATGTTGACAGTTGGAGAATCAGGTGATGCATATATGAGTGTTCATTGTACTATTCTTTCAACTTAGCTTTGCAGTAACTTTGAAATTTTTCAAAATGATAAACCTGGGGAAAAATAAAACATCCATTTAAGATAAAAGAACAAGAAAAAAGAAAGTGCAGAACTTCTGAGTCTCAGATTTCCAAAATTCTCAGCATCCTATAGGAACCTTGGGGACTTGGAATCTTATCTTTTAGATAAAGGCATGCCCTGGTTTGTGGAAACATTTCAGAATCTTAGAATCCAGAAATCTTATTATGATTCTATAAATCCAGAATGCCAGCATTTTGGAAACATAGTGCATGAGAATTTCAATGTGTCAGAATCCCCAAACCCTGTAACATGGTACTTTGGGATACATGGTACTTTTCATAGCCCTGTGGCATGTGCATTTCAGAATTTTATAACCTTGGGATGTAGGCCTTTCAAGATCCCAAGATTCAAGAACCTTAGCTTTCAAGAGTCCCAGAACCCAGGGATACTGAAAGGCATGGTTTGGCATGGCAGGATGAGACTTGGTGCATGGGGTGGCCAGGTTAGGAGGATGTGGGGTGGTAGAGTGGGGCTTAGCCTGGTGGGATGTGGTAGGCTGGACATATAGGAGCCTGGCTTGGCAAGATGTGGCAGAATAAAGTGGGCCTTGGTATGGATAAATGTGGCAGGTGTGATATGGCTTGGCGTGGTGGCCCATGGTGGGGCAGGCACTTACCAAGCCTCCAGAGGAGGCGGCAGGCGAGGCAGATGGCAAGGAGCAACCAGATCTGGTCAAGGCCCTGCTGGGCAGTAGGCAGGAGACAGCCCTGCAGCAGCTGCTGGAAAAATTCCTGGCGGCTGAAGGTAGCCATTGCGGACCCCCACGGATGGATGGACAGATGGATAGACCTGCCAAAGGAGGGACACAGAGGAGGCTAGCTGGGATGTCCATGGGGCAGATGATGCTCAAGGGATGGATTTGAGCACTCAGATTTCAGCTTAGGGTATGGCGGGGGGAGGGTGCGAGTGTCAGGTACATCAGACTGAGCCGCCCCTGTGTGTGTATGTGTGTGTGTGTGTGTGGGTGTCCCAGGTGCCCATACACAGCCTGTGACCTGAGGTGAATGAAGGATCTGTGTTCTTGTACACTGGGAACAGTCCGGGTCCGACGGTGATTGAATGGTGTACATTCTAGGCCCGTATATCAAATTGAGGGGCTCCCTGGTTTGCAAGGTGGAGTCACGCTGTGTGGAGGGCAGAGAGGGAGATCCTGTGACACTCGGGGACCGTGTGCATCTCTCCTTGAATGGAGGTTGGGGGTGTCCTGTATCCTCCGCGTGCCCCATCCCACCCCCACCCGGCCGCCAACAAAGCCCTCCCCAGGCCCGGGGGCTGCAGGGAGGTGGAGATGGCTGTAAGGGACACGGCAGAAGGGGGAGTTGGAAAGGTGATGGAGAGGGGGCCCTAGCACACGCACTGCAGACCCACAAGGGGAGGCCGGCTCAAGATGCAACCGGGAGAGCCGAGCGTGCACCACCGGCGACCTACCTGGCAGTAAGGAAGCTGCGGTCCAAGGGGCTGGGGACGTGCCGCCGCCGCCGTCGTCGCTGCCTCCTCCCGGCAGCCTCCCCCGCAGGCCGCAAGGCCGGGACCAGCTGCAGCTCTCAGGGCGGCGCGGTGAGCGGGCCCTTTAAATCCCGGGCCGGCCCGGTCGGCCAATAAGAGAACGGGAGCGGGGCGGGGACGAAGGAGGAGGGGAGCGGGAGGATTGAGGGAAGGAGCTGGAGGTTGAGTGGAGCCGGGCGCGGAGGACGTCGGCTCGCGGAACATTGGCTCCCGCAACTTTCCGACCTTTTAGTGTGCCAGTCCCTGAAGGGTCGTGTCGGGAGGGTCTTCTAACCATCCAAGAACAAACCGTCCAATCACCAAATTCCTAAACCGTGGAAGTCAAGATGGGAAAGATGGGGGAGGGAGGAGAGAAAGCCCGCTCCTCCACTCATCCGCCTCGCCCTGAAACTGCCCACCCGCGCACGTCTTCGTGACACTGTTATGCCCCCGTTTCACAGATGGGAAAATAAACCGAGGTCTCTCCTTACCCATCCTTTGAGGGAACTATGGGAATTTCCAACCATCCCCAGCACCAAAGACCAGCCAGAAACACATGTACAGACCGTCACCTGGGAGCAAGAATTAGGCGCCTTTGCGTCCCCCTAGGGACTCCCAGTGAGCACTTAGCTTATCATTGAGAACTGATTTGCAGGTTGACTTCCCCACCAGACTCACCCCTGCATTGAGGGTGACCCCAGTAACTATTGAGTGTTTCCTATGAACCAGGAGGCTAGTGCAAAGCACCAATTTCCCGGTGGCTCAGCGGTAAAGAATCCGCCTGCAATGCAGGAGACATAAGAGACGTGGGTTCGATCCCTGGGTGGGGAAGATCACCTGGAGAAGGATATGACAACCCACTCCAGTATTCTTGCCTGGAGAATCCCATGGACAGACGAGCCTGGCGGGCTACAGTCCATGGGCTCCTAAAGAGTCAGATATGACTTGGTGACTAACTTACAGTGTCCCCAACAATGGTTTGACTTTGGGCTCTATCTGCACCAACTCTGAGGATTTATGCAGCACTTGGTGTTTGCCTCTCCTTTCCCCTAGGCTGATGAAGGGACTTTTTCCAAAGGAGCGTTTACTGGGCACGGATTGCAAATTTAGCTATCAAGTGGAAGAAAGAAGAAAGCTAAAGTCAAGCTGGACCCCACCCTGGCCTGAGGAGCTAAATCAAACAGGTTCTAATCAGATTAATGCTTGCCTGTATGGAGCTGGGCAAGCCATACCCATTCCCCAGGCTTCAATGTCCCTTTCTGTTAAACAAAATACTGGGATTAGCACAAAATAGTGGGAAATACCAATGGCAATTGAAAAAAAAATGTATGTCTCCTCTCTTTAAAAAATGTTAACATAAAGTTAAATAGAGTTTAAACACACAACATATATTACAAATAAAAAGTATTTAAAATAATACTATACATAATAATATTTAATAAAGTATTTATTATTGTTGTTGTTAGTCACCCAGTCATATCTGACTCTTTGTGACCCCATGGACTGCAGCACGCCAGGCCTTTCTGTCCCTCACCATCTCCCGAAGTTTGCCCAAGTTCATGTCCATTGCATTCTTGATGCCATCCAGCTGTCTCATCCTCTGACACCCTCATCTCCTTCTGCCCCAGCAGCATGGACTTTTCCAATGAGTCAGATGTTCACATCAGATGACCAAAATACTGGAGTTTCAACTTCAGCATCAGTCCTTCCAATGAGTATTCAGGGTTGATTTCCCTTAAGATTGACTGGTTTGATCTCCTTGCTGTCCAAGGGGCTCTTAGGAGTCTTCTCCAGCACCACAGTTCAAAAGTATCAATTCTTCAGTGCTCAGTCTTCTTTATGATCCAACTCTCATATCTGTACATGACTACTAGAAAAACCATAGCTTTGACTATAAAGGTCCATAAGTGGGTAATTTTTTCTTTTAATTAATTGTCCTCTCAAGTCAGTCACCTCTTTTGAGGGGGGGGTGTCCAAAGGCATCAATTCTTCAGTGCTCCGTCTTCTTTGCAGTCCAGTTCTCATAACCTTAGCTTATTAGATTAGCAAAAACAAAAAAATTGCCAAGCCTCAGAATAATACCATTTTTTTTCCTCTCTCTCTCTTTCTCTTTTTCTCTCTGTATCTATCTATAATTTTTTCTAAAGTATTTGACCATAGTTGCAGATGTGATGCCCCTTCAATTAAATTCAGTATGAATTTTCTAAAAACAAGGACGTTTTCTTACATTCTTACCAGCAGAGTATGAGGGTTTCGATTTCTCCACATCTTCTCAAGCACTGTGTTATCTGACTCTTTTGGGTCTAGCCATCCGAGTGGGTGTGCTGATACTGTTGTTTTATAGGAAAAGGAAATCCTGGGTCACGAGCTACCTTCCTTTATCAGGTCTTTTGGATTTCTTCCAATCTGGAACAACATCTCGCTCTTCCATTAACTGACATGATCTTGATGTTTTTGAAGAGCATAGGTCACTGCTTTGGAAGAATGTCCTTAAATTTGGGTTTATCTGCTGTTATTTCAAGATTAGATTTGGATTATGCATTTTTAGCAGGAATTCCACAGCAGTGACGTTGTGTACTCCTCAGTGTCTCCAGAATCACAAAGTATTTGTTAACTCATTTAATTAATACCAACTCAGACATGTTGGTATTAGTTTTGATCATTCAGTTAAGGTGCTGTCTTCCAGGTTTCTCCACCAAAATGTGCTCTTTCTCCTTTGTAATTAACATTAAGAAGTATCTTGTAGGGACATACTTTGAGATTATGTATCTCTCCTATTTTCCTCTGAACTTCCACTCACCAATTTAGCATCCATTGGTGATTCTTGCCTGAAGCAATTAGTATTATGATGGTGACTACATGATGATTTTCTTTTATTAATACATGTATAGCCAGTCCCAAAGAAAGGCAGCGCCAAAGAATGTTCAAACTACTGCACAATTGTGCTCATTTCACATACCAGCAAGGTAATGCTCAAAATCCTTCAGGCTAGGCTTCAACAGTACGTGAACCGAGAACTTCCAGATGTAAAAGCTGGATTTAGAAAAGGCAGAGGAACCAGAGATCAAATTGCCAATATTCATTGGATCATAGCAAAAGCAAGGGAATTCCAGAAAAACATCTACTTCTGCTTCATTGACTATGCTAAAGCCTTTGACTGTGTAGATCACAACAAATTGGAAAATTATGAAACAGATGGCAATACCAGACCACCTTACCTGTCTACTGAGAAACCTGTGTGCAGGTCAAGAAGCAGCAGTTAGAACCAGACACAGAACAGCAGACTGGTTCAAAATTGGCAAAGGAGTATGTCAAGGCTGTATATTGTCACCCTGCTTATTTCACTTATATGCAGAGAGTACATCATGCAAAATGCCAGGCTAATGAATCACAGTTCAGTTCAGTCCAGTCGCTCAGTCGTGTCCGACTCTTTGCGACCCCATGAACCGCAGCACGCCAGGCCTCCCTGTCCATCACCAACTCCCAGAGTCCACCCAAACCCATGTCCATCAAGTCGATGATGCCATCCAACCATATCATCCTCTGTCGTCCCCTTCTCCTCCTGCCCCCAATCCCTCTCAGCATCAGGGTCTTTTCCAATGAGTCAGCTCTTTGCATCAGGTGGCCAAAGTATTGGAGTTTCAGCTTCAACATCATTCCTTCCAATGAGCACCCAGGACTGATCTCCTTTAGGATGGACTGGTTGGATCTCCTTGCAGTCCAAGGGACTCTCAAGAGTCTTCTCCAACACCGCAGTTCAAAAGCATCAGTTATTCGGCTCTCAGATTTCTTTAAAGTCCAACTCTCACATCCATACATGACCACTGGAAAAACCATAGCCTTGGCTAGACGGACATTTGTTGGCAAAGTAATGTCTCTGCTTTTTAATATGCTGTCTAGGTTGGTCATAACTTTCCTTCCAAGGAGTAAGCGTCTTTAAATTTCATTGCTACAATCACCATCTGTAGTGATTTTGGAGCCCAGAAAAATAAAGTCAGCCCCTGTTTCCACTATTTCCCCATCTGTCTGCCATCAAGTGATGGGACCGGATGCCATGTAGTTTTCTGAATGTTGAGCTTTAAGCCAACTTTTTCACTCTCCTCTTTCACTTTCATCAAGAGGCTCTTTAGTTCTTCTTCACTTTCTGCCATAAGGGTGGTGTCATCTGCATATCTGAGGTTATTGCTATTTCTCCTGACAATCTTGATTCCAGCTGTGCCTCTTCCAGCCCAGCGTTTCTCATAATGTACTCTGCATATAAGTTAAA